AACTGAAAAATGTTTGAATTTCAAGAAAAGTCTATGGACCTTTTATAGGAAGTAAAAACGTTTGAGAGATATCAGCATATTTCAAAAACGTATAAACAATGGCCACAGGGCTAGCCTGTAGAAGAGCAGGTGGATTAGTGGGGCAGTGAACGCGAAACGCAATACACGTGTATGGAGCCGAACCTCGAGCGCGAAGCACGGTTGGAAAAAAAAAATCCCAGATGACAGATGACATGGTGAATGACACCTGATCCGCAGTCCAGTGTACTAACCCTTGGTCCCTCAGGGTTGATGTCTTGTTATATTCACAAAAACACAAATGAAGAATACGACACGCAAATGATTGTAGCCATTGATACATTAAACTTTGTTGAAAGTCGGTTCGCAAATATTCAGTTTGTTAAGACAAGAATCGCGAAAGCCCATAGAGAAACCTTGGATTTCCGGTTGAATAAAAATTTCGGGGGCCTGGGAGGGATCCCATATAAAAGGGACGGAGGTGCTTGTCCCAAAACGGAGGGTCCCAAAACAGGAGCTTTCGCGTTACCGTTTCAGGTATTGAGCCAAAAAAGACAGCGTCACTTGATGTGTTGCTTTAGAATTGGTACCTCCTTGGGGTGAATAAAATTCAAGCCACACCCACAAAACAGGATTTTGGTGCCTCTTAGGGGTTCTTTTCAAAATTTCCGACGAACACTCCAGTCCTTCTAATATGGGAGTACCCCCCCAGGGGGGATAACAATACAATCATGATTCGAAATATTACGGCCACTTCCATTAAATGGCAGGTATCAGCATAGGAAAGGCTATATACAATGTCCTAATTGGTGCAATACAACACACCCTTAAGGATAATTTTGACGGAATGTTTATAACATTTCTTTGCTAACGTAAACGTCATCAAGCAGGTCCGTCAAACTTGGATGTCGCGGCAGAATACGGACGACCAGTAGCAGGTTCCAGGTTCTCCCAGTAAGCTCGATTGGCCCTGGGAACAGAACATGCAAAACTGTTAGTTAGTTTTTGAAGATCGTCATCAGCATCATCAATCCTTATTGCCCCCAGTAGGGCATGGGGCCGCAAGTTTTTGAAGATGGAGCGCGGCTTATCTCAAACCCAGATCTCCCACGGTCAAACGGAATGAGATCTGGGTACGAGATTAGAGCGCGCCAGAAACGAAGATTAAAACGCAGCAGAAGTACAAGATCCAGCAAATGCAATGTATTTTTTACAATCTCCATTTTGATAAGCTTTCTATAGACGACTTGCAGGAACCATGGATAGTAAAGAGACTGTCTTCTACTATTCATGCCATGCAGGAACGGAGAATAAAATAAAACCAAGTAGTGGCCAATAGACCAATTTCGATATATTAGAATTCATCCTAAAACAATAGACCTCAGCACGAGGCTCTGGGAAATAACTAAAGAGTTTGTGGGGTTTATTCCCCAGAGCCTCGTGCTGAAGTCTATTGTGTTAGGCTGAATTCTAATATATCGAAATTGGTCTAAAGCACGCATAAGAAAGTCGTGTAAAACTAACTCTAAGCCAACACATGGTTAATTTGGAAATTTCTCTAGACATATCCCTCTGTCCATGAATGCTTGAGTATACAATAAAATCATTTCTCAAAGATTGCCCTAGAAGAAATCCCTTCTCTGCCGTTTATAAGACTCTTACTTCCGTCTCATCCATTCTTTCGGGTGATTCTTCAATGCTCCTCCCCAAAGCTCGTGCTTTTCACTTGCCACAGGAAGAAAACCACGTTCTGGGGCAAGCTAAAGACGAATAGTTACACATTAGCACACATTAGAATAAAGAAAATAGCACAAAGAAAATACATGCGTTGATTGGCATAAAATCGTGTTCAGATAGAAACATAGAACTAGCACGAGCTCTTGACGTAATGATGCCACAAGCAAAAAGGATTTACATTTTGATGATCAAAGTAAACAAGTTGTTGTTTTTTTTTCGTCGTGGAACTTTCTGAAAGAAATAGAAAACATATTCTCCGTGTCTGTATCGAGTTATACAAACACTCGTGGAAGTTTGGGAGAACTCGAAAAAGTTGTTCCCAAAACACTTCTTTCTCATAAACTTTCATGATTTTCTCTATAGAGAAAACGAAATACCATCTTCTATTTGGTATTTACAATACATAAAGATTGCTTCTTTTATAAAGTGTGTGCAGACTGCTCCTAATCCCAACAACGGAATTTTATGGCAGAATTGGAGACTACTTACTTTCAAACGTTTGCCAGCTTCACCTACGCTATAGTTTCATATTTATTTGATTCCAATCGCCAAAGGCTTGCGGTAGCAATACATACAGGCCGCAAAAATCGAAGTTGATTTCTTGGCTTTTGGCTCCCTGGCTCATCTAGCCTCTACGGTTGTTCTTGGGAGCCAATAAATTTTTTTAAGGGGAAGTACAAATTAAGGTTGTCCTCATTGTTGTTTTTGTTGTTGCTAGAGCAGTTTTCAAATGAGTGCCGTAAAGCCAAAACCAATGTAATCACTCCAGCCAATCACAAACAACACAATCCAGTGAACCAATCAAAACTTGAAGTAAATACATGTAGCTGACGCGAGGCACGGGAAAACATGTGTGGGTGACTCACAAGTGGTTTTGGGTTTACTTCTGATTGGTCGAAAAAGTGGCGCGAGTTTTTTAAGCCAATCGTGTGGCGTAGTAATGAAAAAGCAATTGCTTTTCGGCTCTGAATTGAAAATCACTCAATTGTTGTTGTTGGTTTTGTTACTAGGCGTCACGTGTCTTACCTCTTCCGCGATAGCCCGGATGTGGTATGGTTCAAAGCCACAGCAGCCTCCGATATACCTCACTCCCATATCATAGGCCCGCCGAGCGTACTTATGCACATCCCACCGAGTTAGTGTGCGAGGTTCCAAAGCTATAACAAAAAGAACACGAATGGCACCTCATGTTAGTGGAATGGAGTCAAGGAATGGAGGACCGCAGAACAAAATTAAATTTTTCTACGGGGACGAAAAGAATTTAGGTCATTTTTCGGGATAAATTTCGGACATATCCAGCTTGCAGGGGAAGGCAAAGAGAGACGTCAGATAATGACACTTTTTTGGCGATACGGCGGCCATTTTGAATTCTATGATTGTTTCAAATAGCTATTATGGGATGCTTAGAGGGCAAATACATACTTGTTTGTCCCCTAGGTATCCCATAATAGCTATTTGAAACAACAGAATTCAAAATGGCCGCCGTATCGCCGAAAAGGTCCATTGAGGCATGACTGCAAGGTAACCAATCATAACGCGCGTAATACTGAAACTAGTCAATCGGAGCACGCGTAATACTGTAACTAGCCAATCCTGAATGCGGGTAATACGGAAACTAGCCAATCAGGAAGCCCGTTTAGTTATGATACAAACAACTAACACACAGTGAAACAAGTTCACACCAAAAGGTATCTCGGGCAAGCTAGCGAACCCAACCCTGCCGGCGTCCGGGGTGTGGTAACCAACAGGCTGGATCATCAAATAAGGATTGTGTCCTTCCTTGTCCAGTGCTTCTTTCATCAGACGAAGAGCTTCCATGGAAGTGGTGGGATCGAACTTGCAGTTCACACCAATAATATCAGCACCTGATAATGAACGAAAAATATCAGCCA